AAAAACCAATAATACCAACAAATACTCCAATTCTACTAAAAACAACAACAAACCCAATCTATTCAATACCAATATTTCCAATTTACCCAACACCAACAATAAATAATATAAAAGATCCAATAAAGGAAGAAAGAAGATATTTATCAGAACAACCTATTATTATACCTAACGCAAGAACAGAAATACTACCAGAAATGACAAATGAAATGACAAAAAAAAGAGCACAACCTACTCTTCAAACAAGGGATAATAAAAATGAAGAAATAGAAAACAGTAATAATGTTATGCCAGTAAATTTAACAGAAACAAAAAGGTTATTGACAGACATAACATCAACTCGAAATGAAGAAGAAAAAGACAAGAAAGAAAAGGATATTGAAAGACTAAAAGAAGAAAATAAAACAATGAAAACAATGATACAAGAACAACAAATAGAAATTAATCAATTAAAAGAAAGAATTGAACAATCCAATCAATTAATACGTCAAATACTTCAAATATTAACTAAATAGTTTTTATTTAATGATTAATGAGTTGCATAATCAACACATCCATCATCATCACTACAATCATTTTCATCATCACTTATACTAAATGAGTCAAGAAAAAGATTTTGTGTATTAATTCCAAAAAACATATCAATTGCACCAAAATCAATATTATTTAATGCTTCATGTAAATAACAATGAAGATTTTTTCCACCATTTTCAAGAAGATCAAACATTCTTTTCTCTTTAATTTGTTTTTTCCAGTTAAAATGACTTAATGGTATATAATTTCTAGTTTCTTCAATAATAATACCATACCGATTAATACAATGTTCTAATTCAAATTCAAATATTGAATTAGAAAGAAATTCATTTTCTTTAAATAGAAATTTATAGTGAATATTAACATAAACTTCTTCTTTTCCTTCATTTCGTTTGATTTCTTTAATATGTTTTTCAATGTCAATTAATGATTGAAGTATATCAATTTCTTCTTTAGTCACTTCTAAATTTCCCATTAATCCAACTTCATTAAATACTTCAATCCAAAAATTAGAAATTCCACATTGTTGTATCCCATCATTTGTTCGATGTTTTGTTCCATTAATAATTGCTCTTCGAATTTTAAGTATTTCTTGAATGTCTTTTTCACTTTCTTGTTCAAGTTTTAAACATTCAATTTGATATTCAATTTCTTTTTCTCCAATTTCTTTATCAATTTTTTTTAATTCTTCTAAATTCTCATTAACTTCACCACCAACTATATCAATATATTCATCAATGTTTTTACTTAAAATGACTTTATTAATTTTATCTATGGAATGAATTGACATTTTTCTTCTTTTATTATTTATTTTTTTGGAGTTTTTTTATTTTTCTTATAATTTCTTATAATTTCTTATAATTGTTGTTGTGTGTCATCTTTAATAAGAATTGATTCTTTATTCTTTCTCTTTAATACAGAAATACCATAACACACTATTGAAGCACCCATAAAATATCTACAAACACATTTTGTTTTAGCTTTATTAAGGACATTCATTAAATATTGTTGATGTGATGAATTTGATTTTATCCAATTTAATATTTCAATTGTAATATTATCTAAATCATTGTCTGGAACACTCCATAAATTTCCACACACAAGAGGAGAGCCTGCTTCAAGATAATCAATTACTAACCCAGATGGCTCAAATTCACCTTGTTGGTGAAGTTCAGCAGAGTTACATCCCATTAGAAGTGCAATTCCACACTTCTTTAATGTTTGAATTTTTTTTCCATGAATAAATTGTTCTCCACTTCCATGACCACAATATAACATTATATCATTTTCATATAATCCTTTTAAAATATCATCCTCTTTTGGGATTTGATTAAAAACTCCATTCCATTTCAATTCATTAATTATTGGTAATATTTTATTTTGTGTTTTAGTTAAATCATGTGTTGGATTAAGAATATAATATCCTCTTTTTCCATTAAATAAAATTCCTGGAATTGTGTCATTGATATCTTGTATTTTTGTACTTAGAAATGGTTCAATTGCTGGGATTCTTGTAATCATAATATTATCAAATGTAGGCATTGATTCCCATGGAAGACAATGTAATTGTTTATCAAGAATTAATAAAATACTTTTATTTTCTATTTCAATTGTTTCTTCTAATTTAATATTTTTAATTTGATTAATTAACATTTCCATGATTAATGGGTTAATTTCATTTCCTATTATATAATTAAGACTTTCTACAATTTCTTCATGATTTAATTTATTAATTTGACTAATAAGTAAATACAAAATATCAATTTCTATAATTTCTTTATTTGTTATATTTTTTATTATTGAATATAATAGATTATCATAATATTTTGTTCTATGATAATTTCTTGGATAAAATATAATTCTTAACCATCCTAATACTTTCTTTTCTAATGAATAACAAATGTCTTTAATTCTATTATCAATATCAAATACTTTTCTCCAATGTTGTCTTTTTTCATTTTCTGTCATTTCTTTTCCTTTTATTTCACTAAAAATATTTTGAATTTCTTTTTTGATTATTTCTATTCTTTCTATTTC